GTGCAGTGGCATGATCTTGGCTCACTGCAATCTCCGCCTCCTGGGTTCAAGCAGTTCTTCTGCCTCAGCCTCCCAAGTAGCTGGGATTACAGGTGCCCACTACCATGCCTGGCTACTTTTTTTGTGTTTTTAGTGGTGACGGGGTTTCACCGTGTTGGCTAGGCTGGTTTCAAACTCCTGATCTCGGGCGATCCGCCTGCCTTAGCCTCCCAAAGTGCTAGGATTACAGGTGTGAGCCACTGCACCTGGCCTATTACTTGTTTTGGTAACAACAAAAAACAGCAAAATCTTGTGGGAGGTTGGAATGTAACCAAACAGCTTAGCTTCAAACCATGTTTTAAAAACTTTGTTTCTTTCCTTCTTTCTCCCTAGTTTCTAGACATAGCTTTGAGACAAACTGCAGATGTGTTTTCTTTTGTCTTGAATTACTGCCTTGGAATGGGCACTAAAACTGCCTTCCCTTTCCCATATTATGCTCCCATGCCTTATGCTCATTTATTTACCTGGATGCTTGTTAAGCTCATACCATGCCCTCTTATCTGGTCATATATTTCCTTAGAAGCTTCAGGGGCTGAATCCTGATGCAGACCAGGCATCTCCAGAATTATCTCTCCAGTAGGAGATTAATTCAAGGACAATATTCACTGTTGGCTAGAGATTATCTGCTAGATTGACCATCATTAATTTGTAACTTGATTGGGCCTACGTGTCACTGGCCCCTTCACCAGTTGAAACAATAATTCAAGATAAGCCATCAGAATGAGACACCCACTGGGCACCTCCTGCCTCTTGCCCCTCTGCATTACAAGTTCCTCTTCTTAAAATGTTTGGCCTCTCTCTAGAAATTGAAGAGTGGCAACTTTTGGCCGGCCACACTCCCTGTTGCTAGCATGGATAATAAAACTCACTCTGTTTTTAATTATACCTCATTCTTGTTCTTTTGGCTTTTTTCTACAAGTGACAATCAGCCAGACCCTCTTTTGGCTACAGGAAGACTTTGATAAAGAGAATGCCTGAGCTCAATCTTGTGTGTTTTAAGGAAACAGAAAAAAAAGGAAAAGAAAAAGTCTTTTCCTGCCTTGTACCTCTGTCTAAATAAAAAGAGAGGCAGCTTCCTCACAGAAAAATATCGCTGATCTTAAAACCAAATTCAAAGAACTGAAAAAGGAAGTTTCTAGTGTTCCACTTCTGTGAATTTGGCCCAGAAAAATCCACAGAGAAGGTGTTAAAGTCAGAGAATTTATCCTGCATCCCTTAGGAAGCCCTAAAACCAAACAAAGCTCTCCCTAAAGGGCTGAAATTAGGCCATGAGGGTTGTGGGGGTGACGGAGCCGTGTAAGCTCTCTGTTTTCACAGGTTTAGGTCACTGCTGACAGATTCAATTACTATGGGAGGACATTTCATTCATGTCTAATTTTCATTCAGTTGGATGATTCTCCCAAATCCTTCATTCTTTACCATAAGTTTACTCATTATTTTAGATTTACTGCAAGGCACTTTCCCCTGGGAATTTTTCTGAGACCACTGTGAGTTAGGTATACTTCCTGTGTTTTGATTTGTCATACTAAAAATCTTAAAAGTGTGAATTTCTACATGAAATGAAGGTAAGATCGTTTATTTTATTTATTTATTTATTTATTTATTTATTTATTTATTTATTTTGAGACGGAGTCTTGCTCTGTTGCCCAGGCTGGAGTGCAGTGGCACGATCTTGGGTCATTGCAAGCTCTGCCTCACGGGTTCATGCCATTCTCCTGTCTCAGCCTCCCTAGTAGCTGGGACTACAGGCGCCCACTACCACACCTGGCTAAGGTAAGATCTTTATCTTAACAATCTAGGTCTTAGATTTCACTGTATGGGCATTAAACAAGTGTTTATTTCTGTATAGCCTTTTTGACGACTACCCAGCAATTCCACTTCTACGAATGTCTCTCAGTGAAATTTCAGCTTAGCTCTGTAGTGGCTTCATAGAATCTAGTCACTGCAGCAACTTCAGGCAGCAGAGAGTTGGGGTAACCTGCATGTCCATCACCAGAATGAGTAAATACTGCAGTGAATACAAGTTTGTATGAAGTTTCATGTTCTCCGGGAGTCACAGCTAATGAAGCAGATGTATATATACCACAACAGGTGGAGTTTTCAGTGCAAAGTAAAATCTAAGAAACAAAATATATATCAGGATGTACAGTACAATACCAAAATTAAAATTACAGAGTTACACAAAATACGGTGGGTAAGGCAGTAGCTGAATGACTAATGCCAGAGGGAATGGTGGCAAATTGTGTGAGGAGGGGAAGAAACTAAGTTAAATTATCTGACTGGCATGCTTGCCACCTCTTGGAAGACACCTGATTACACTCAGTCCCCTGCCGTCTTGCTGGCCAGGAAGATAACTGGTCACAGGTGGTCCCCTCACCCCACCTCATTCCACAGTCTCTTATGGCAAAGCGTTTCCTTGACAGAAAATGCTAAAGGTCTCCAAAGCCCCTCCCTTTGCATCCTGATTTCTAAAGTCTTTTTTTTTTTTGTAATCAAGAGGTTAATGTTTGGGTGTATTGGAAGGATACAGAAAAAGGCATAGGACAGTATGGACAATGGTATTGAAATAAAATTCCTCCTTATTCTGCCTGAAGTTTCCTGACATGATGACATGGTATTTGTGAGGATTTGAGTCACTGGGCGAAAGCCTTCCTTTGTCTTGAATCATGGATTTTGGGTATTGTTGGTTTTGATAAATGGAATACATAAGGAAAGAAAAAAAGGGCCACAAATATGAAAATGCTCTAAAAGAAAAAATAGTTCCACAATACTGAATGCAAGCCATTCAGGAAATGTCCATTTTAAATTTTAAAGATAGCTCCTAGGTGTATGGTGGTTTTTGTAATGTAGTGGTTGTCACGTGTGCCACCCACGCGAAATGGAAACTGGGCAGAAATATTCCCTTATGGGTCTCTCTCTCCCCCTCTCTCTCTCTCTACTTCAGCTTGAATAATTTCTTGTTTCACTAAACTCAACTCGAGTTAAGGGTGTGAATACAGAGTTGTTCTAAAAGGAGTATCATGTGGGTCCCTATCTTTGCCCTGCCCCGGGGGTTGTAGGTGGCTTGACTCTGCAGCTTCTAACTTGGCGTTAAGAGACTAAGGTCTCTTAAACTCAGGTCTGGTGCCTAAAAAATATGTCTTTATTCCCTTACAGGTCTAGGGGTCAGAAATCTGCAATCAGTTTCAGTGGACCAAAATGAAAATGTCAGACAGGGTGTCTAACACCCTCCAGAAGTGCCAGAGGTGAAGCAGCTTTCCTTGGTCTTTCCAGGTTCTACAAGGACATTCCTTGGCTCATACCTCCTCCTCCCATTTTCAAAGTCAGCAGCGTAGTATCCTGATTCAAGATCACATTGTCTTCTTTTTCTTTGTAGCCAAATCTCCCTCTGCCTCTCTCCTCTGGTGACAATGGCTGGGGTCTTGACTTGCCAAGGTAACTGTCGTTGGGGAGCAGAGAGTGGGATCCGCAGTGTTCTGGTGACTGTTGGGATCTGGGCGCGAGGAAGGAGAGTGGCTCTCATGATTCTCTGCATTCTCAGTGCCCTGTGGCCCGTACTGGTCATTTGGGTATAGTTTTACTGAATTTCGCAGATCTGGAAACATAGAAGGGACTGGGTCTCCAAACTTGGACTGCCCCTGGCCTGAAAGGTCTGGGCTCAGGACTCCGAGCTCAAGTCAGTCTGTTCACCCAACCTCTAAGCCACTGCATCCAGGTGAGGAGTTGGGCCCGAGCACTACAGCGCAGGTAGGGTTGGTAAGAGCCAAAGACTGGAGTCCCAGGGACTGTGGGGCTGGGCTGCTGGGGCCACTGCTACCACCTAAGCAATACAGGCCGCCTGGAAGACCGAAGGCGGAGTTCGCTGATGCGGAAGCCAAGACACAGGGCAGTAAGAATCCGCTCCATTTCTTGTGATGTCACCTGAACCCTTGGCCGGTAGGTGCCTCTCATCCATTCGGAAGACAGGGCTCCAGCCACCGGCAGCTCTGAAAGAGTTTGAAGAATTTATTGTTCACAGATGGTATTTAAATGGACTTATTTCTAAAAGTCACATTCCTTATTTGTTATTAGAAGTACCCATTTTCATATGTGTTTAAAACTATTTGTGTCTCAAATTCTCAGGAGATTGATGCACTCCAGTTTATTCTTTTTGGCATATGTTTTTACTCATAAATTAGGTTAAACTTCATACTTGTTTAATAAAATTTAGTTATTTGGTTACATTAAAATATTTGTATCCAGATAAGAAGTCTCTTCCTTCTCCTATGCTTTTTTGGAATTTAGAGCATATCTGAAATAAAATTAATTTACATTTTATTACTAATTGATTATATGCCATCAATTAATATTATTTCAACTATCCCTTACTGTAAGCCAATTAGATTATACCTTTTTTCTTTAGTGTTTTTGGATTTATTAGTATTGATCTGTGCTGTTCTGTTATGTTTTTTAGTTAAAGAAAAATTATTCACGACACTAGCTAAACATGATAAGGCAGATTTTATTCAAGGGACTACTATAATGGAGTTTTGCAGTAGGGGAGATCAGGCTTAACTCCAAATACAAAAGAACAAGTGAAGGTTTATAGCAAAGGATCAGGGCGGGGGTTAGTGGCTGAAAAATTACTGAGAAGTAGGGTAATTCTTTGCTAAACTGATCTAACAGATTTTTTTTTTTTTTTTTTCTAAAGACAGGCCAGGAAGGCCAGGCACCGTGGCTCACCCCTGTAATCCCAGCACTTTGGGAGGCTGAGGTGGGTGGATCACCTGAGGTCGTGAGTTCAAAACCAGCCTGACCAACATGGAGAAACGCTGTCTCTACTAAAAATACAAAATTAGCCAGGTGTGGTGGCGCATGCCTGTAATCCCAGCTTCTCGAGAGGCTGAGGCAGGAGAGTCACTTGAACCTGGGAGGCAGAGGTTGCAGTGAACTGAGATTGCGCCATTGTACTCCAGCCTGGGCAACAAGAGCAAAATTCTGTCTCAAAAACAAACAAATAAGCAAACAACAACAACAACAACAACAAAAAAGGCCAGGAGGCCAGGGTAATAAGATATCAAGGTGAGACATAAGGAATTTGATAAAATATCTAGGGTGATCAGACCAAGGGTGAAGATTTTTCACTAAACTTAGCAGGATTCTTGCTAAAACTAGAATAAGTGAACCAAAGAGAAAAACCCATGGTCTGGGCTTTCAATACTTACAAAGGAGGCTGACTAGAGTTGGGTCAAGAAGGTCTTTGCCACTTTAGGCAAGTAACTGAGTTTCCTTTAATGGTGGTAATCTCAACATTCCCTTGGAAAATAAATCCACATCTGAAATGTGAGTGAATTTGGATAAATCATATTCAGATATCAGACACCCATCAACTCGCAGCTGCTCCAGCATATGAGAGCTGTTCAACAGGGACATGTGCAAGTGGTGGTATCCCCTCCTCTTAGGCCTAATCTGCCAGTGAAGTTGGGGATGAACAGGGGCCCAGTCATCTGTTTGCAGAAATGAAACCCTAGGGTGCAGTCAGAGAGACTTTACCTCCGCTCTTTTGTGGTACTTTGCGCCATCATCATTCTGTGGGTTCGGTCCTCCAGGACATGCCTGAATATAAGGTTCTCACATGCCTGGCCCTCATCTGATTAAGGACAGAAGTACAGGGTCCTTCTTCCTGATCCACCCAGGTCTATTAAAGTTCAAGCTAAAAACCCTTTCCCAGAGAAAGCCTCCAAGTGCCCCCCAGCACGGGGGCAAGGAGGAGTTTAATGTACAAGGGCTGAGAAAGAGGGTGGGGAGAGGAGAAATTGCCTCCCCCAATCTCTCCTTCCCCATGGGGTCCCTTCTGCATCCTCACTCCTGGCATTAGAGACCAAGGGGACAGAAGCTGGGATAGGGCCCTGGATTGCCTTCCCTAAAAAGATGTCCTTCAAAGCTTTGCCCAGTGCATCCTGTTGCCCCTGAGGTATATAACCCAGGGTGGGTTACCTTTCAGGGTCCCTTAGCTGTGGTGCAAATGGGGAGCATGCAGTGGAGACTGCATCCACCCTGGCAGTTTTCTTGAACCTTAGGGGACTGGCTTGCTGTGCATCTTAGGCTTCTGTTGTCTCTTACTGCCTATCTGTGAATAATAAACCTGATTCATATAACTTGTGGCATGTGAATGTAGTCTGTCTCATCTGACTGAGGCAATTAGTAAAACTGCAGCCCAGGATGCTGTGGGTGGAAATGTTCTGATTCCCGGTGGTTAGCACAGTGATGATTTTTGCTATTCTTCATGCAGTGAGAGTTCTCCTTTGGGACGGGTAATTAGTGAACCTGCTTCATAAAATTGGTGTAGCAGTAGGGTCTGGTCTGACAGAACCATGACTTATGGGCTAAGAAGGAGGGGCAATGCCCTTTAGTACCCAGTCCAGGGCAGAGGGCTGCAGGAGCCAGACATGCTTCAGGATGTTTTATGGGGAAGGAGGAATGATAAGTGGGACATATGTCACCTCCCCACAGATGTGAATGAGCTGGCTGCATGAATTGAGGCAGAGAGAAAGGAATATGGAAACAGAGGAATATGCAACTCTGTCCTCTAGCTTTGGGACACATATGCGATTGCTCATTCTCCAGGATGGAGATCTTGGGAAATGGATACTCAGACCCTAAGACACCCAAGAGGCTATAAGAAGAGTCTCTGAGGCACTTAAGAAGGAATGAATGTGCATGATGCAGCCCATCTTTACCCAGCAGTGCAAGAATGTTGGGGTAGCTCAGCAAGAAATCATCAAAATGCTCTCCTTCACAGAAAGACAAATTAGTGATCTCAAGGACAGCTATGGGCAAAAACCAAGAGAAGACATGTTTTCTTGGCTATCTCAGGTAGTTGATGAGGAGTGGCAGAACATTCTGCTGTCATGAAAAGAATGGCACAGCCTGGGTAGATTGGCTCACAACCCAGTGTTGCAGCAGATGTTCAGGGTGATCCAACAAGCCATGGCTATAGATCACCATGCCCACAACCTGGAATCTTTTCTTATTTGGTTGGTGTCTAGCATTATAGGCTCTTTTCCCCTCCAGGGTGGTTTGCCTAACCTTCCATTGTGCCCTTGGCAGTCAGGACATGAGGCTGTCACAGCCTTGTGCAGGGTGGCCCCAGGCTGATGGCTATCCAACCTCCAGAAGGGAGAATTGGATGATACAATATTATCTAGTTGCAATATTGATGATTTAATAGACCAGAGCCCTTGGCCCTGGCATAACCAATTGATTTTACTTCTTCCCCTTGGAATAGCCTTTGGCAAGGCCATTGAAAAACTTTATCATACTTTGCTAGCCTGGCAGCAGAATGGGGATCAAATTTGACAAATTTAATCTGACAATTAAATACAAAAGGCTAACTTGGGAGGAGGCAATCCAAGGGCTGGTAGTGGGGCTGCCTCCAAGTGCCCCCACTCCACAGACTTATTTAGGTTCCTAAATAAGAGGTTGATGGCCTCCCCACATCTGATACATGCTACTGGAACCAATCAGAGGGAGGCCCTTGCAGTTTACAGAATCAACAGGTGCCAGTCATGCAGGAGGACTAGCTTGTTATGAATCTTAGGCTTCTGTTGTCTCTTGCTGCCTATCTGTAAGTAATAAACTGCTTTATATAACTTGTGGTGTGTGAGTATGTGCTGTCTCACCTGACTCAAGCAATTGGTAAGACTGTAGCCCAGGAGGCAGTGGGTGGAAGCATTCTGACTCCTATTCCTGATGGTCCACATAGTGATAATTTTTGCTAATGACCTCATTTTTGAATCCATTTGATATCCTTTGGTCTTCATTTTACTTGCCTTCTTGATATTTACACTTCCTAAAACATTTCCCATGGCATCAATGACACCAAATCCTTTTTTCCTTACAAATTCTCTCCTGTAAGGCCAACCGCAAGCTTTAAAAGATGACATTTTTCGGCCGGGCGCGGTAGCTCACGCCTGTAATTCCAGCACTTTGGGCGGCTGAGGCGGGCGGATCACGAGGTCAGGAGATGGAGATCATCCTGGCACACACGGTGAAACCCCGTCTCTACTAAAAATACAAAAAAAAAAAAAAAAAAAAAAAAACAAAAAAACCAGGCGTAGTGGCGGGCGCCTGTAGTCCCAGCTTCTCCAGAGGCTGAGGCAGGAGAATGGCGTGAACCCGGGAGGCGGCGGAGCTTGCAGCGAGCGGAGATCGCGCCACTGCACTCCAGCCTGGGCGATAGAGCGAGACTCCGTCTCAAAAAAAAAAAAAAAAAAAAGACATTTTTCAGGGCCGGGCGTGGTGGCTCATGCCTGTAATCCCAGCTTTGGGAGGCCAAGGCGGGCAGATCACGAGATTAGGAGTTTGAGACAGGCCTGACCAATGTAGCGAAACCCTGTTTGTATTAAAAATACAAAAATTAGCCCCATTGCACTCCAGCCTGGGCAACAGAGTGAGACTCTGTCTCGAGAGAAAAAAAAAAAAAAAAAAGCAATTTTTCAAGTGTTAGTCTTGGCCCTTTTTCCCCTCTCAGTTTCCTATATAATACCTCACTATAATTCCTTGTTGGCCCTTCAGTTTTATACTATCTCCTCTCATATCTGCAGTCCAGAACTTGCCTGAGGCTATTCCTTATATCCTATTATCCTACTCAAGCATCTCTACTTGAGTTACCCTGTACCTTAAATTCAACATATTTGAAACTGAGTACTTAATTCCCCTACCCCCAAAAAGGATGGAAAAAAATGTTACCCTCTCACTATTGTTTTTTATTTCTCCGTTTATATATTGCTGCATTACAAACCACCAAGACCATAGTGGCTTAAAACAATAATAACATCATTTTGCTCCCTGATTTGCAGGGTCAGCTTGTCTTTTCTCCACATGGTGTCAGCTGGGGAATCCACTTCTGAGTTGGCTCACTTGTGTGGTTGGCAAAGTGGAAGTGGCTTTTGCATGGGAGCTCAGCCAGTGCCATGTACAAAGGGCTTTGGTTCTTCTCTGTGAATGTGGAAGACCTGATGGTACACAACCTAGGCTGCTGCACTGGTGTTTATTACCGTCATTCACTGTGAATGAACAGTGGGAGGCGTGCATATCTTTCAGAACTGCACATTGATTCCTGGAGAGCGATCTTGGGTTGTAGGACTTTCAGCTGCATGATTAGGGAAACACAAGCCACAGTGTAATGGGGCATGGGAAATGGCATATTATGCTAACATTAGTCAAAAGAAAGCTTGGAGTAATTTTAATTTCAGACAATGTAGACTTCAGAGCAAAGAAAATTACCAGGAATAAAGAGTGGCATTATATAATAATAAAAGGGTCAATTCTTCAGGAAGATATAACAATCCTTAAAGTGTATATGTTTGTAATGGGCTAAACCGTGTGTCCCCCTGCCCGGCCCCCCACAAATTCGTATGTTGAAGTTCTAACCCCCAATATATCAGAATATGACCATGTTTGGTGACAGTCTTTATAGGAGTGATTAAAATGAGGTCATTAGAGTAGGCCCCTTCCTCCGTCTCCCCCTCTCCCATCCTTTTGGATTGGGGTCTCACCATTTTGACCTCATTTAACCTTAATTACCTCCTTAAATGCCCTATCTCCAAATACAGTCACGTTGAGATTAGGGGTTTGGCACAGGAATTTTGATGGACACAGTTCAGTCCACAACAACCCCCATCCCTAAGTTTCCTTAGCTTTAAAACAGATAACAACCGGCAAGACAACATAACATGAAGTGATTGGCAGACAATGTGGTGCAGCCTCCGGATGCTTAAGGCGATGAAAATATAATTACGTCTGTCTGCATAGGTTCGAACCTACCGGCTACAATCCTGTCCTACGTTTTGACAGTTGTGAACCGCCCGCGGTGCATTTTCAGACGAGATCGGGCGCGTTCAGGGTGGTATGACCCTAGACGCGCGGTGCATTTTCAGCCTCCCTCCTGGCCTATACCCGTAGTGCACACACAAAGCAATCCTTAACCAACCTCATCCTGGCCTCTCGATTTGTAGAATCTTCGCTGAGGGGAGGAGGGCCTTCCTCGTGATGTGTAGGAAGAGCAGCAACCAAAGGCTTACGTGAGAGTCACTTTTCAAAGCCATTTCCAAAGCACCTTTTCAGCAAACGAGAACCTGCTGGCGAGTTACCTGCTCGTGTCGCTCCTTCCCCGCAGTCTCCACCAGGCGGCGCGCCCCAGGAAGCCGGACGCCTGCTCCCGCAGGCCGCGTTTGTTTGTGCAAACTCAGCAAGGCCTGGCAGCCTTGGAAAGCAGGCCTTTAGCAAGCCGCGAAAACGCAATTGGGTGCCAGGGTTACTCGTTGCATTTGTGGTAGGCAGAGCTTTCCTTCAAGCAGCCAGAGGAAAGCTCTCTGAGGGTGTGTAATTAGGGTACCGTAATTAGCATATAATTAGGTCTTGGGTAGGGCATGGGTCAAATCCAGCGCCATGTTGGACCCAAACGGTTTCAGACAGCTTAGCCCCCATCCTGTTTGTTAGGGTGTTATCAGCGCAAGCTCTTCCTTGTTCTTGTAGCTAATTTTAACAGCTCCTTTAGGAGGTGTTAGGAGCTTAGGAAAGCTCTCTGACTGCTTGGAGGAAAGCTCTGCCACCACTACAGCGCTAAGGATATCGCCCAAGCTCATTGCTAAATGTCTCTTGGGAAAAAGCTCCTCATGAAGCAGGTAAGACTGATTTGTAAATTAATGACCTGCAGGTCCCCACATGAACACGAGGAAAGGAACTTGCAAGGTAGTGGTGAAGAAACATCAGCAGGTCCATTTGGGGTTCTCATCGGGTATCTTTCCTGATGGTGAGATGGGAACTTGGGGCCCTGTTGTAATTCCAGATCTGGGAAACTGCTGATTCCTCCCTTCCCCCAACTCTCCACACCATCTCCTCACCACTGTCTTTATGATAATTGTCCCATGGTGCATTAATTCTTTCCCAGTCTTGTCATTCAAACATTTATGTTTCCTGTAAGTACCATTAACAGCTTCTTCTGAACTGGTTTCTCTAAAAATTCTTCCTTTACCTTTCTTCCGAAGTGTCGGATCCTTTACCTTTTAAAAACGAAAGCTAGGTCTGGTGGCTCATGCCTAGCAAGACCTAATCTCTACCAAAAAAAAAAAAAAAAATTAACCAGGTGTGATGGTGTGGGCCTGTAGTCCTAGTTACTGGGGAGGCTGAGGTGGGAGGATCACTTAAGCCCAGGAGGTCAAGGTTATAGTGAGTTACAATCGTGCCACTGCACTGCAGCCTGGGTGACAGGGCAAGACCCTGTCCCCCCCCCCAAAAAAAAGCATCCTGATAAACATAGACATGAAATTGAAACATACGGGTGAAGGATGACAGATCTATGCCTCAGTCTTCTCATCTGTAAGACAAAGACAGCCTCATCACTTTTAACGGAGGTGAGCAATAAGTGAGGTACACCACTGCATATTACATGGCAGATGCTCAGTCTCCTCCTTCCACTTCCTCACTGGTTTTCCTGTGAAGAAAGGAGGTCCATGCAACACAGACCTAAACCCCTTTGAGAGGAAAAGAGGGCATTTGGTAGAGGGGAGGGGAGGAGTCCTGGCTTGTGGGTATAAAAATGTTTTTCCACTCAGATTATTTTCTGAAAGAGGCTGAGATCAGGCACCTAGTTTGCAGCCTCCTGAGTCTCTGGAGGGTTCATGCTAGTGGAATGAGAGGGCGGGGGGAACAAGGAAAGTGATAAATCTCATCCCTATTTGATAGGAATGCTGGGTGGTCATAAGAGAAACATCAAGCAGTAATTTCACATATCAGCAAAAAAGGAGCTGTTAAAATTAGTTACAAGGACAAGGAAGAGCTTGGGCTGATAAGACCCTAACAAACAGGATGGGGGCTAAGCTGTCTGAAACCGTCTGGGTCCAACATGGCACTGGATTTGACCCATGCCCTACCCAAGACCTAATTATATGCTAATTACCATATGAAATTACACACCCGCCAAGGCCCTGACAGATTGAGCCTGCTCATATTTAATATAAAAATGGGTGGCATCTCAATTTTATGAAATCTTCGCCTTTCCCCCAGAAAACCTCATGATTAGTCCACCCTCTAATTACAAGAGCCCATAAAAATAGAAAACTCAAACTCTGTTGGTCATGACTCGTTCTCACGAGCTCACCTGCACTTCCCTAAGTGTGTACTTTTGCTTAGCAATAAAAGCTTCTTGCCTTTGGCTTCATTCTGACTCCCCCCTGAATTCTTTCTTAGGAAGGTGTCAAGAACCTGGAAACTGGCTGGGGCTGGGGCTGGGGTCTCACTGGGCTTCTGGAAACCCTTCTGGGCCCTCCGGCAACACCTGTAGTGTAAGCAGCAATTCAGTGCTGTGATGCCTCGGTCCCAGACCTTTTCTGCACCAGGGACTGGTTTCATGGAAGACAATTTTTCCATAGACGGGGTAGGGGGGAGTGGGGAATCATTTCAGGATGATTCAAATGCATTACATTTATTGTGCACTTTATTTCTATTATTACATTGTGATATATAATAATTATACAACTCACCATAATGTAGAATCAGAGGGAGCCCTGAACTTGTTTTCCTGCCTAGATGGTCCCATCTGGGGGTTATGGGAAACAGTGACAGATCATCAGGCATTAGATTCTCATAAGGAGTGGGAAACCTAGATCCCTCAAATGGGCAGTTTACAATTGGGTTAGAACTCCTATAAGAATCTAATGCCTCAGATGATCTGACAGGAGGTGGAGGTCAGGCTGTAATGAGAGTGATTGGGAGTAGCTGTAAATACAGATGAAGCTTCACTGGCTCTCCTGCTGCTCACCTTCTGCTGTGTGGTCCGGTTTCTAACAGGCTACCAGGAGGAGGAGTACCGGGTCAGTGGCCCAGGGGTTGGGGATCCCTGCTGTGATAGTTAATACCCATGGCTCCAAATCTAGTGGCCCCAGGTCAGGTCCTAGTGGGACCTGGTTCATTTTTGCTAGTACCCATCTTGTCCACGTGAACCATTCCAGCCAGTTTTCTCATGCTCTTATTCTGGAACATCTTCCTAACCCCAGTATATCTGCCTCAGTGTCTCAGCCTGTTTTTTTTTTTTTTTTTTTTAGAGAAGGAAAAAACAAACAAACAAACGTAAATGAAATTGCTGGAGAGTAGTGGCCACCAATCCTATGCCTGACCTGGAACTGGAAACACAAGGCTTTCCTGAAGACAGAGAAACTCTGAAAAAACGGGAAAAGCAAGTCGGTGAAAAGAGCAAAAGAAAAGTTTCAGAAGGGACTTTGTTGACATAGCACAGGATGAAAGAGTATCAAAGGTCTCTGTCTGGGCCCTTGTCTGGGAAAGCCCACATTCGCTGAGTGAGAGAAAGCTGTTCGCAGACATAACACCAAAGGGTTAGAGTAGGAAGCCACTTTTCATGAATTCAACGGCGGGGATAGGGGTAGGGGTAAGGTGGAGCTGCTTGGGTACACCAGGTGCCCGGAAAGCTGCGAAGGGCATTAGGTCAATATGCAAAAATACTTCTAGGTCAATATGCAAAAATACTTATGATAGTTAATACCCATGTTGGGAAAGAAATTTTCTTGGGGACAGGAAACAAAGCCAACTGGCTAATATACTCTCTCTCTAAGGAGAGTAAGTCTGACTTAATGCCTTCCTCGATTCTCTCTAAGTAAGGGTTTGTGAGGGCTTTGCTCGACTTTCCCCTGTTTCTGCTCCTGAGCTCAAAGCAGCTCTTGAAGGAAAAAAAGTCATGTTTTGAAGCATGTTTGGTAGATTGGGAAAGGGCAACTCACCATTTGAAGGGGATTGTTGGAGTCAACTGGTTCTAGAGTGAGCTGATCTTAAGAGGCCAAGAGGAGAAAGGAAAAACCGGGAAAGAAAGAGTGAAAGAAAAATAGGTGTAAAGCAGTGTTACAAAAATGGCTGATCACTTACATGATAAATAAGAAGAGTAGAAGTGGCGTTTCACCAGCAGAGTGGCGCAGCGGAAGCGTGCTGGGCCCATAACCCAGAGGTCGATGGATCGAAACCATCCTCTGCTAAGGTGGTGGTTTTTTTTTTTTTTTTTTTTCCTTCTTAAGGAATTATCTTCCGCGGTTGTGGGGAGAAGATGGCCTCTGTCTCTCTCTCTATATATATATACATACACTTGATCTCTTAAAAGTCCTTTCAGAGGCTGTATCTCACTTTTAGATATGTGTTCAGCATTTTCCTTCTCCTTTCTCCAAATGTTTGCATAATTCCTTTCTCACTCATTTCAGAGGAAAGGCATATCTTACTTGGGAAGAAGAGGTGACAATTCCCATGTTAACTTCCAACAAACTACCTATCTTCCAGTGAATAGAAAATACACTGAGGTTGAATATAATTTTATATTTTCTCGCACTCCAAGGCAAAACACTGTTACAGACTTTTGCCTGAGACCATTGGTTATTGTAAATCATTATTGTCTTTTTGCTTCTATGGGAACCTCCTGCTTCTTTTCCTCTTTTGTTCATTTCTATGCATTATTTATTAATTTCATTTCATGTACTGTGAATTCTTCTCTAAAGCAATCTGTTACAATGGCCAAAAGACATCTTTTATACTCTCCTCCTTCCATACTTATGGAAACTAGACACATGGAATGTTATGAGAAAGAGAAGCAACAATGAAGTTAAATGTAAAATGGTTGATTCTACTTGGATAGATTAAAAAAAAATGTAAATGGTAGAAAACATTGGGGTACATTTAAAGCATTATGTGAATCAGAATTCCATGGGCAAACTCAGAAGACCAATAATCTTTATTTTGTCTGCTTACCTTCTAGAAGCATTTTAACTAACTTTAAATGTCCAGGAAAGAGATTGGTTGAATAAACTGTAACATGAACTGAAAGAGGAAGCTCTATGGGGCTACAAAAGAGATATAATTTCTAGCAGATAGTGTTAAGTAAAGAAAGTGCAGATGAATATTATAGTAGGCTACCTTTTCTTCAAGAAGGAAGAGGAATTAGGAAAACATACACATACCTGTTTTTCTTTATGAAAAGAAAACATAGTGAAGATAAACTAGAAAACAGAGAATCTGGTTACCTAAAATGGCGGTAAGAGACTTGGGGGAAATAGAGTGCAAGGGATATGGGATGCCACTTCTCTGAGTTTACCTTTGTTATACCTTTAACTTTTGAAAGCGTGTGAATGTTTTACTTTTTTTTTTTTTTTTAACAGAAGAGGTTCTCTGTGTGAACATGTTGACTAAATTCAAAAGGGTTATAAAAGGTTTTTTGCTGCTTTAAAATTTCTGAGTCATCATTTTGGCAAAATAAATAACTTATGGTAATCTGAATTCCCAAAATCAAACATCAATTTCAAAAATCTCTACCCTGGCATCTGGCTTTTTGAATACTTCAGCAGGCCTCTAAAGTGTCCAGAAAAGAGAGGTAAACAGGATTATTTGACATGTTTAGGTACATGGGATTGCCAAAATGATGCTCAATCTTCTTTAGGCTATATTTTTGTAACACTAATATATATTTCAAAATTGTATAGGATTTCTAAAATAGTATAAGCTATTAATTATAGTTATGTTAAGTTATTGTAAACTGCAGAAACAACGAAATTTTCTCGTATAAAGCTACTAACCCAAGTAAACAAAAAATTAATTAAATATCAAGAAAATAATTTCATGTTAAACCAGCTAATACGGAAGTTGTTTAAAATAGTTTATAACCAATGCTTGATGCCATATTTCTGGGAAAACAAAGTTCAGGTATATTTGGTCACATGGTTGGCCATTTAAACATTTTATAAAGGAATTTTATTCATTTGTTATTTTCTTTTTCTGTTTTTTTTTTCTTTTTAAATGGTTTTATTTTATATGCAAATAATGAACAGATGTTATACCCATAAATTTTACTTTCCAAAAACAGGAGCTTTTTAAAATAAAATCATGTAATAACTTGTAAAAGACACTAGGATTCCTCTGCTTCTAGATCATTGCTACGTTAGAAAAATAAAGTGTATTCCACCAGGAATCACAGATTAGAACTGAGTATTCTCCAAACCGGAAATTCTAGAGTGCAGTGTCACTCCAGGCAAAGATTATTCAGTTCTCATCCCCAACATCCACAACTACCTATCAGAAGGGTTAAACCAGGTCAAAACAGTCCAGCATAATTAGGTGTCATTAAACAATGTCATTATGCTCTTCTAAGATGCAACTAAACCAAAACAGGAAATACTAAAATCAAAGTAACATTTGACACTGTCATACAAATTGTTAGTTCCTTGTTGTAGCCCCCCTTCTATAACATTAATAAAGGGAATATTTTACTGCAAAGAATATTTTATTTTATACATCACTAGCCATGAATTGTTGCCATTAGTTATTATACAAATGCTGCCTCGTGTCATTATCCAAATGGCATAACCATTTTGCATCCACAATTCACTTCTATAGTTAGAAGTAGAATTTTCCTGATTTACATATGTACATCTGTCAGTGAAGATTTAACACTGAGATGCAATCTAACATTCATAATATCTGGTGTTTTGCAGATGGCAATGTAGGAAAGATACGTTTTAATCACTTTTCATTTAAGTGACCTTATGTAAAAAATAAACTAATAATTTAGCAGTTCCAAGTCTGTAAAGGACATTTTCAAATGTACATGAAAGAAATGGTTACAGAGATTTTAAGAAGCATCTTCCGTGTCTACATCCTCTTGTAACTGCTGTACCATTTTCTCTTCCAACTGCTTCCCTTTGCCTGCAAGAGGGGCTTGAATAAGATGGGTGTTTGCTTGACTTCTTCGATATCCTAAACTTTCTGTAGCTCTTTATTTTTATTCAATCTGTTCATTATAAATTTAGCTGAGCATTTCTGTTTGATCTCTTCAACTCTCTTCATTGCATCAATAGTTTTATTCCATAGCTCTTGCTGGTATTTGATAGGTTCATTTCTACGTTTTTCAAATTCAAATGAATTATCCACTGTAAGCTCTTTACCAGCTGCTTTCTGGAATGCTTTGATCCACCTAACTTGGCGAGATTGCACTTCTTTTTAAGGTGTTTATGACATTTAGATTTACAAAATCTGAACACCTTGCAATCATTGTGGATGAACATCATGCCGTGACCAGGGTAGATGGGCCCTGAACAGAAATAACACTTCTCGATACACATGTTGAACCTGCATGGGTCCCCACCAACCAAACACCAAGCTTGAGAGCTCATTTGTTATTTTCAGTGCATGTTTTCTGGTTGTATAAAAGGTTTCCTATGCAAGAGGGCTGATATTGTAACAGTAGATTATTATGCTACAGTGTATTTTCAACAGGTAAAGAAAGCTTTTTATGGTTTGAATCTTCTAGAAGCATCAGAGAAAGACTGTTCTTGCCATTCACACTACAACAAAACTTTGGGACCTTGAACTTTGAGTTCATAATCTCACAACTGAGAAGGGTCCCTCCAAGCTCTTGGAGCTGTGTACCCACTGGAAACCTTAAGATAAAACTAACCAGAGAAATTTCTCCCAAGAAGAGGATGACATCCTTAATGTGAACAGCTTTTCTCAAGTTCACAGATTTAGATTTCTACTGTCATGAAACTTATCTTTGAATATTTTTTTCTTGCTCATGCCTCTACAAAAAATAGAAGTGGAAAAAGTGTCTGTTATGGGCACTTACGGTGTATGCTCTTATTTGTGAAGGAGTTTATAGCTAGCTTTTTACATGGATAAACTTATACTTTGATAGATAAAAGATGAAGGCCCAATGTAGGTAAGAAACTTTCAAGGTACATGCTTTGCCTCATAATCAAAAACAAAACATTGGTTCACACCTCTTAACCCACATCATGGGTTAAAGAGAACATTGCCGGAAGGCCTTCACTCTTCTAAAAAGACATCATTTGTTAGGTCCTTTTCCCATGGTTTAAAGTAAAAGAAGCAAGCAATGATTAGAAATATATCCCTCACAATAGGTCTTATAGCAAATTCTACTGTGAAAGCTATAGTTACACAATAGATTCTAAATTCTCTTGTGAAAGTTATGACAGAATTGGCTAAACAGAGAAGTATCTATGCAGCTGCCGGCACTTGTGGCCTCTGGAGAAATACATCAAATGAAGATTACGTGGAAATTCAGTGGTAGAGGATTGACAAAGAAATTGCTCAGTCAAGTGGATAAACTCTTCATCTAGCTGATCCTTTGATCTATTTGATTTTAGGAGGTTTGGTTTATGGGGACCTTGGGTGAGCAGCACACTCCAAACTCTTGGTATCATCCTCCCAATAGTCATAATAATACTCTCCCTGGTGCACTGTATTCCCTCAAAGGTTTTAAATGCTTGTATGCAGGCATCTCTAGAATGTCAAATGGTCTTTCTTCAACTGGAATAATAAGAGCTGAAGGAAATATGCAACCATGAGGCCCCTTAACCTATGAATGATATACTGAGACCAGAAGCCCAAAATGATGGTAACTGAGAGTGGCGCTAAGGCCCCAAGTTTTGGTTACACTGTCACCTAACTGAGAACCTGACCAAAAAGGGGAAACTTTTTTAACAAAATTCTGGGAGGCCATTGTTTCGGACTAGGCTTATGCACTAGGCCCCAACAAACCAAACCAAACCAAACCAAAATGGAGTCACTTCTGCTAAGACTTTAAGGAAACACATAGATTCTAGAACAAACCAGGTTTTGTTTTTTCTCCTGCAAATCTCTATAACAAACATTTCTGAGAGCATAGATATCCACCCCTGAAGTTCCCATTAAATATTTTAACCAAATTCCTTTCCTCTTGCTTAGAGACCACCAAGCTTCAGATGATCATGAAACAAAGGTTCCAGCCAGCTCCATGTGAAGACACCACCCCAGCCATCAAGAAGCTACCCTCCACTAGACAGAACAGGGACAGAGTTCCATGATCCCCAATAGGTAGGGGCTACACCCCAAGGTAGCATGAAGCAGTTACAGAAAAAAGACCATCAGTCCCTCTGCCTCCCATAAAGATTTATGGGGATCACATCTCTCAGGGAGGAGATGAGACAGGAAAATAAGGTCTGGAGGAGGGAACATAAGGCCAGTTTATACTTCAGCTATAACAGGAAATATCCTCTCCATAGGGCACATGCTGTAAATGACTTTGTAACTTTACCTCATCTTCTCTGTTTACATAGGACTTCCAAAATAACAAATAGAATTCTCCAGGGGGTAAACTCCCAAAAATTCTGTAACTGGGGCCTTTGAGCCGCTGTTCAGGCCCACTCCCACACTGTGGAGTGTACTTTCATTTTCAGTAAAACCCTTTATTTCTTCATTGCTTTGTTTGTGCATTTTTGTCCAATTCTTCATTTGAGATGCCAGAACCTGGACACCCTCCACCATTACCAGTTACCTAAAATGGTGTTAAGAGACTTGGGGGAAATGGAGTGCAAGGAATATGGGAGGCCACTTCTCTGAGTTCACCTTTTGTTAGACCTTTAACTTTTGAAAGCGTATGAATATTTTACCTTTTTTTTTTTTTTTTTTTTGAGACAGAGTCTGACTCTGTCACCCAGGCTGGAGTGCAGTAGAGCGATATGGGCTCACTGCAACCTCCCCCTCTCAGGTTCAAATGATTCTCCTGCCTCAACCTCCAGAACAGCTGGGATTACAGGCACGTGCCACATCACCCGACTAGTTTTTGTATTTTTAATACAGATGAGGTTTCACCATACTGGCCAGGTTGGTCTCAAACTCCTGACCTCAGGCGATCTACCCACCTCAGCCTCCCAAAGTGCTGGGATTACAGGCATGAGCCACCGCACCTGGCCAATCTACATTTTCAAAAACTAATATTAAGGATGGGGAGTGGAGAAAACTAAGGTTGAAAGCAAGTTAAAGCAAATGAACTCAATTTTATTCCATATTATGACTACATGGAAAGGAAAAGAACATAATTTGTGGACAGGGCATTTGACAGTACACCTTCACTCTTTGGCCAAGAGAGTGTGGATGGTAGGGGGACAGGGGTGTGTGTATGGAGAAATGCAAACAAATATTTAACTCTATTTATTTATTTGGTTAGTTGTTACAACTACCTACTGAATCTCTTTTAATGGATAATTTTTGTTAGTAGATGGGCAAAGCAATCCCAAAACTATGTATTATATGATAGAGCAAGTGAGTAAATATGCTAATCTTGTTGGAATTAGGGGTTTCAATGTGGGAAAAGGGACACATAAAAATATAGAATGGGAGAATGTAAGAAAGAATCCTGAAGAGACTAATGGATAGAAATGGGAGGTATGGATGTGAGCTCAGAATTTTTTTTTTTTTTTTTTTTTTTTTCTGAGAGAGAGTACTCTGGTTCGCCACCTAGGGGCGGGAGTGCAGTGGCCAATTCTCGGCCTCACTTTGCAAACCCCCGCTCCCAGGTTCAAGCGAGGTGGCCCGTGCCTTTGAGCCTCCCCAGTTAGCTGGAACCCATTAGCAGGTGCATGGCGGCTGGCGCGACACTCACCTATTTTTGTATTTTTAGCTAGTGAGACGGAGGGTTTCAACCGTGGTTGGCTAGGCCTGGTCTCGGTGCTCCGCCTTAGCTGAGGGTGAATCCATCGCCTTGCGTCGTTCCCAAGGAGTTGTGAGATTAACAAGGCATAAGCCCACCCTCGCCCAGCCGAGCTCCATGATTTTAAAATATGTGTCACGTACTTTGTATGGCATGTGCGCCGTGCGCACGAACCATGCCAGAAATATGCGGTTGGTAGTATGCACATTGCCCACAGGTGTAGAGTATCTATGATTATATGTGTGTATTAACATACACATGTATTCTCCTAGGTTTATTCCATTAAAAAGACCAAGAAGCAGATATCATAGAAGCAGTTAGTACACTAAGCCCCCGGGTATTCCTCTCTAATACTCTTCCCCACTGAAAGAAATCAGGAAATTACTGAGAAATGACTGAATTTTGGGCTGGGGCAGGGTAGATGCAGATTAAGTCTGGAACAACTTGTTACGCAGAAAATAAGAACATGTTCAAAAGAATGATTGTGGCACTTTGGGGGGCCGAGGCAGGC